AGAAACAAACCTTTCTCATCAGGGGTAGTTGCTGTGGGCTTTGATGACGAGGCATAACAGGTGATAGTATGTTGCACAACTCAACCACTTCATGCTGAGGCATCCGATATATTTTTACAAACTCAGGAATGCTTAAATTGAGAGGGTCATTGTTATCTCTTATTCGGAATTTTTCGTGAATTTGGTGGTTCACACGACGCCTGTGCTCTGCTTTGACGTCATGTGGACGCCCTTCAAAATAGTCGAACTCTAAAACCAAAAATTAATCAGTACAAAACAAACACATGTGCATGTAAGAGAATAAATTTACTGATCCTGAACATACCCATGGCTTCGTCTCCTTATGATGGCTCTTGATTGTTGACACACTAGGGAGTAACCTCAATAAAGATTACAAAATGCAGAAAGAAACTGAAGGCTTTCAAGCTTTCCAATAAGCTGGCATACACAATAAAGCGGTGTAGTAATCAAACCAACAAGCCTTGACAGGTGTCAAAACAAATGTATACTAACTATTCACTTGTTTAATTACCACAACCTTGAAACAAACTTATGGTTAAATAAACCTCAGGTTAGCCGTTATTGGCAACTCATACAGTCATGTTTTGTTTTGTTTTCTTGTTGTGCAGTTGGAGTTTAGTAATACGTTGCAGCAGGATGGAAGATGTGACATGCAATGTCATTTAAGAAGGCTACACTGCAATAAATGGCTATCCCCATGAGTAAAAGAAAATAACATTTGGGGGATATTACTTTTGGCTCAATATGTAATGAAACTGCAAAAAAACTATGTACGGGGTCTGTAAGTCAACCCGTTTAATTTCTAATATTTTCTGTTCGTTTTGACACAGAGCTATTTAAGCTGATTTCTGTGCACCCAATTTGGCCGTAGAATTTTGGGGTCAAGTTCTCTAGAATCAGAATGGCCCAGGGTACAATTAGGCTTGATCAGATCTTTAAAATTGTATTTGGTGTAGAATTTGACATTTTGGATCAATGTTAAATTTTCTTTTTTCTTTACTTTAATTTTTTATTACTTGTACTTTAATGACAGACAATGCAATCATGTCGGAATCTCTTATGTGAAAGTAAGTTCTCTGACCTCTTCAGCAAGCAGCAGGACTCATTGTCAAATGTACATCAAGGGTGAGGATGTCTAATAAGAATTTTATCAGTTCTTGAATGATGTGCTTTTTAATCAGTCTCAATCATAATCACAAATTCAAAAGAGGAACAGAAAGGTAAGAATTCAGTCAAGTTGACAACAGTACGAGCAACTATCTATAAATAGAATAAAAGTAGCAGCAAATTCAAGACTAAAAAAGGATAAGATATGGTCAAAACAATGCAATGATTGACATTATACCTAGTAACAACATATTTTAAGTAAATGTAATCAGTCCTCAATAAGATTCAAAAATTATTCAAAATTGCCACAAAAAATAAACCTTTCGTCAATGATTAAACAGTAACTGTTTCTAAGGTCAATAAAAAATAAAGTATGACAACCTTACATCAATAAGTTGCATAAGAACACAAAACCCATCAGCAGCTGCACTTGTAGATGTCATCTCTATAAGTGTGTGCTGATAGAAAAAAAATTGCAAACTGCAAACCTTTTTAACGAGTCATCTTTAGATTACGTACTAAACCAATAAGTTCTCTCATAACAAGGGTGTTGGCTCGGATAAGGGCCTTTAAATCATCCGTGTCGGCATCAGGCTCAGGCTGAGTCTCATATTGCATCGGGGAGACTACAGCATTCCTTTGCAGCCTGCGCTTCGCTGCCGGTGTTAGCCCAGAGGATCTGGGAGGAGTATGGTACATCAGTTGATAAGGACTCTGGGGGAGAAGGGGATAAATAACAATCAAAACGAAGAGGACTAGTACACATGAAATTAGCAAAGTACAATACATATAGTAATGAGAAACTTACATCACTTAAGGTGACAACATCATCACTGTCCTCTTGTTTCACTGCGGCATAAGTCTGCTGCTTGGAGTCATCATCAGAATCTGTGAGATATATTATTTCACTGGCCTCTCCTTTCACCTCCTGCTTCAAACGCTGGAATCAATGGAAAAAAAAAGGTGGTGAAATTATTCCAAGAGGTTGAGTGACGAAACATTAGGACAGTTTTTAAAACATACCGGCAGAGCTGCAGCACCGAGTAGGTCCTTCTCTGCCTCCTCTTTCACAAACAGGGACGCTCCAATCCACTGGTCATCATTAAGGGGCGACCAATGCCCAATATCATTGCCATCCACAAGAAACTGAAAGGAAGAGTGGGACATGAGATAAAAAGTGGTCAGACCACACAAGATCTGCGCTACTTAAATGACAATGGCCTAATGGCTCACCTCCAGGGGTGCATCAAATTCAACAGCAACAGGCAACACGAGGGGTGCAGCTGCATTCACTGCCTCTTGAGGTGCAGGCAACACAAGGGGTGCAGGCAACACGATGGGTGCAGCTGCATTCACTGCATCTTGAGGTGCAGGCAACACAAGGGGTGCAGGCAACACGTGGGGTGCAGCTGCATTCACTGCATCTTGAGGTGCAGGCAACACAAGGGGTGCAGCTGCATTCACTGCATCTTGAGGTGCAGGTAACATGAGGGGAGCAGCAGGTTGATTTACTGCATCTTCAGGTTCAGGCAATGGAGCAACATCCGGCTCATCTACATTTTCCACAGCCACCTTATCACAAACAAGAGGGTTTTTGAGAACAAGGCCTACATTACAACATTGAAAAGACTCTAAATTATGAACAGTACCTGAGGAAGGACCACATTTGCCATAGCAGCCTCCACACCGGTCATTATGAGCACACGCTTATAATTTTCCGAAGGACCCTCCACAGTGTTTGGGTCAGGAAATGGCTGCCCGGCCACAAGGTTTGGGAGTACCTTGTCCCTGTACGACTTCCTTGCTCGTCCCTTTATGCCATTCCATGCCTGGTAAAAAGTTACAATTAGTTTCAAGGGGAATAAGTAAAAAGAAGGTAGTTGGAGGGTTCACTTACACTCTTCCACTGTTTCCCAGTCTTTTGTGCTGAATCTTTGTCTGCATCATTGACAATAATTGCAAGACTGTCCCATTTCCGTTGCATCCTCACTTTTCCACCAGGATGGACCGTAACCCCTGACAGCATTTCGGGGTCACCAGCAATATAATTAAAAAGAGCATCCCATTGGACGTCTGATGGAGCACAATAATCTGAAAAAGAACAATGCCTCTCAATAGCAATCTTGATATGAACAAGTTGAAAATGACAAATGGAATAACATAATATTAGTCCCAGCAGGTTGCACGATTGCAATAGAAAAGAAACACGTAAATTCCCAAAATGTGGTCAGCATTTCATCATAATTTAGGTACATGATTCTATAATTCTGAGAGGATTGACAGTAACATCTTAGATACAGAAAGATTCAAACAATTCATTGGAGGTTTAGAGACCCATTGCCAGTCGTAACCAGCAAAAACTTTAGGGAGGGAATGACCACGCATAGCAAGACGACGGATGAAGTCTGAACACGCGTACTTCGCTTTACAAGGAATTATTAAGTACAATAAATCCGCAGATAGAACAATTTTGATGCGGGAACGGGCAGGGTACAGCAAAGTGAAAGAAAGTTCAATGTTGGTTGCGCCTAGCCTACTGCCCCGTGAGAAGAGGTTAGGTTACGGACTCGGAACCGAAAATACAACTACAATTGTTTGTCCCTCATTACGCTCATTCTGATGAATTAATTACGGTGATTTGATTGACGATGGGGGAGTAAAAACCAACGATATGGCCCACATCTACCCATTGCAATACCAGGATGAACACCCTAGTAGCCTGCGGCTTTTCGTTTGAACAAATAACACAGCAACTCCATTCCGAAACATTCAGCAAGAGGAAAGCATTCTACGAAAACTAAAACCTGATAAAACTCCAGGAATTCACTTACCCATTTCGAACCACAAGTACACAGGCGACACGAGGCGAAAGGTAATGGTCAAGGTTAGGTTAGGTTAGGTTAGGTTAGAACCACGAGAAGTTGAATGCCTAATAATGGCCGACAATGGCACTAGCGAGCGCGAGCAGGAACAGTTGAACACCCACGAGCACGCACCGAAGGCAGAGCCGAAGGCGGCCGAAGCCGAAGCCGTTGCCGAACCGATGAGCGTCCCCGATCAGTACCACGCCCGACGCGCCGGTGCCGACCCACGCGAGGCCTCCTCTCCCGTCTACCTCCCATTGAGCGCTCTCCGGAATCAGTCTGCTGGCGGCCGGGCGAAGGGAGGAGAGGCCACGCGGCAGCGAGCGCAGTACACGGTCGGACAAGGGCGGCTTGCCTAACCTCAACCTAGCGCTGCGCTGGCCGGCTGAGCGGCGGCCGGCGGCGGCGGTGAGCAGCTAGCTCCACCGCCGTGCTCTTTACGAGACTTCTTCTCCTACATCTTCGGAGGAAAACGGGGAGGGCTGCGTCGGGGGGGGGGGGGCATTTAGCCCTCCCTGCACCCCACTTCCGCGGCCCCTGGATGTAAACATTTTGAAACAAATCAACATAGCAAGTGTGCAACTCCAAGTTACAAACGAGCGAGTGTTCATTTCAAAATTAAACATGTTTAAATGCTCATATAACTTCTTCTACACTCGTAAGTGTGCATTTTCGAAACTGATATCAGCTGTGGTGGGTAAATGTTCTATCTAGTAACACTATTAACGGTGTACAATATTATTTCGATCGGATAAAATCTTCAGATCTTAGGTGCACAAGAGTACCTGGAAAAACACTTTTTTTCGAATCTGATATCGGCTTTGGTGGATACATGTTCTATCCAGTAACAGTTCGGATAAAATCTTTAGCCTCCACAGCGGCCTCAAAGATTAGCATGAAGCTCTCATGCGAGAAAAGCATAAAAACTGAAATTTTTCATATGAGGGTTACTGTTGAAAATTTCGCTGTTTTAACTAGTAGAAATGCGATTTACTTGTAAAAACGCTTCTGGAGATGTGCCACTTGTGGCCTTTTATTTCATATGTGCCCAGCCTGTATGACAAAAAGTTGCAATTTTGAAGCAAAATCCGCTTCTTTGACAGCGCCTTGGTCATGAAGGACAGGTGCTCATATGACGAGTAGCACATCACCGGAAGCGTTTTTACAAGTAAATCGCATTTCTAAAAATTAAAACAGCGAATTATACGACAGGAACCTTTCTATGGAAAATTTCAATTCTTATGCTTTCTTCCCATAAGAGCTCCATGCGAAACTTTGAGACCGCTGTGGAGTCTTAAGATTTTATCCGAACGAAATATTTTTTCACACCGTGTTACTGGATAGAACATGTATCCACCAGAGCCGATATCAGATTCGAAAAAAAGTGTTTTTCCAGGTACTCTTGTGCATCTCACCAGTTAGACACAGCAGTTAGACACCAGTATGTTCAACTGCTCAGCCAAACACGCAACTTTTTAAAACTTTATGAGTGAGTAACTGCTAAAATGCATACCTGCAAGTGTCCAACTAGTGAGTTGGGCACTTGAAGTTAAACACTTGCATGTGTGTATTTTGGTGTGAAAGACTTGCAGGGGTTGGGACATTACCCATCATTACAGATTTTGCTGTTACTGATGCAGCCCGAGTTTACTAAATGTACTTTGAAAGTTTAGTAACACAATACATACATTATCAAAAACTATGAACATGTATGAGGAACCATTTAGCTGTGGCCGTCGCTACAGCTCCTCGAAAGCTGCATGGTGACCTGAGCGCCTATGGGAGGACACCGTCAGGGAGCGGGGAGGGGTCGTTGCCGACGTCGCCGACCTGCAAGACGGGCTTGACCTGCAGCACGCCGCCAAGCGAGGGCCTGGTGAGGTCCGAGCCCTGTCGTGTAGGCGGAGGTGGCCCCTGGAAGATCGGGTCGTTCGGGGTGTGACCTTGGGCACGACCTTGCATGCCTGTAAAGTCGGACGCATGCCCACGGCCATGCAGGCCCTCCGGCGGCATGCGAGTCCCTGAGATCACCTCAATGTGGGTCATTTGGTGAAGAAATGTGTGAACACGGAAAGTATTGACAAAATTGTACAGGGAGAATAATTACTATCACACTAACTTTAATGGGACCGAAATAGTAAATGTTAATGTTAAAACATATTGTAAATGTTTATTCCCCTGTATCATTTTTCACATGAATATGATTTTCCATTTTCATTGACATCACGTTTCAGGAGACGCCTTTAAGGTTGAGTTTATCCACAGGAGAGGACGTTTCATAATTCCTTTCCAATAGCATTGATAGTTTTGATATGAGAACAAATATTTGATTCTATCCATGCGCTTATTCTTTGACGGAAGGGCCCAAGTAAACAAGGCCGGCAGGACCAAGTGACGCTCAATTACAGCTGAGGAAGCCGAAAAACTGTTCATTCCGTTTGAAGTGTGGATCGATAACAGGTGTCCAAAGGCACCGTCAAACACGTAACTTGACGTAGGGGCCTTGACAAACAAGCTCGGCGGGACCTGTTTCAGCAATCGTATTGCACCGTTCTGAGCTGAAAAAACTTTGCTTTTGATCTGTGTTATTCGTTTGATTTGTGCGTCGACGCACGTTGCTAGATATAGTGTCAAAAAACTATATTTGACGCACAATAAATCTGTGGTTTTTAACTGTCTCGGAATCAAAAAGTGTGGAAA